ACCACAGACCTTATTTCAGTCAACCCAGAGGCTTTAGGTACAGGGGACTGGAAATGCTAAAATGCTAACTAATGTCCAGGTTTTAGGTCTCATTCCTGTAGCACTCTCTTGAGCCCACATGCAAAAAGCAGATTCAGTACTGATATAGATTTGAATCGCCAATTTACATACATTTTAAATACATTTCTTTCTTTTGCTTCTGACTCTCAGATGGAAATCCAAAAGTACACGTCGTCATAGCAGCAGGGTGGAGCTTCAGCTGATAAACAGGAAGCAGTTCCGTATCATGACATCAACCTCTTCATCTCTCCATCAGTGCTAAACATGACATCAACCTTTCCTGAGTCCATGTGACTTGTTTAGTCTGGTTCTTATCTCAATGTGAGCAGATGGGATTAAGATCAGACCTGTGGCATCATGTCACATCCACTCCAACCCCGATCCTCTGTGGATCGGTGGCTGCAGACACTGAACAGAAGCTGCTGATGTTGTTACAGCAGCTGATTACATATTCAATTACATCCCCATCACTGAACCGAGAGTGATAACCCTACAGGGGCTTAGTCACAGTTATCAGATATCCACGAGGCCTGCTCTTGCATTAGAAGTGAGTTCACTTCTTTATATTCTACAGGTAAAAACATGATAGTTGCAGAGTGGGCGGAGTTGTTTCAGGTGCCTGGTTTTCTCTATAGACAGTGTTAGGTATCTGACAGCTGGAGAACTTCTACACATGCATCACCCAGGTCGAACCATCAGCTAAGAAGATGAACAAGTGTGTTAGAAAATAACTGGTTCTTTCATTAAAAGACAAAAGGTACAAGACTGTGGACATAGAAACTGAGGCTCAGCTGAGGTCAACTGCAACTCCCAAGATACATTTCAAAAAGAAACATCCAGTCACAGATATTAAGATTCTGGTATTCTGGCATCTAAAAACTGATATGAAAACAGCTTTTTACAGTCGGCAGCTTTAACTGATTCACCTTCACATTCCTGGTCAGTGTTGGATGAATTTGGCAAACAACAACAAACTGTTTTGAGTTTGCTACTATTCTAATTTACATCCCTGACTGGGTTGTTGAAGAGAGGCTCGTGTGTATTGTAGTATTTAGAGCTTCTAACCCACTCAAACTGACGGAAAAAGAATGATTTCTCAGAAACGAAGTTGAAATAATTAAACCTGGTGGATTTAACAGCTGCTGGATTCTTAAACAATCTAGACGACCTGTGAACATTTTTGGTATTTTCTAGTTTATATTTCCAGTATTTTAGGCACAGTATTGGCACTGAATTAAACCACCTTTAGATCCAATAAATAAAGTAATGGTTTATTTACTGGGAAATCAAATATTTCTTGATTTTACATGCCTGTAATGACCTAATAATTAATAATAACTACTCTCCTCTAAAGGACCACTGTATGGAATCTGGTTCTACTTACAGGGAACATTGAGAGAAAAGTTCTGAGACCGTTATTTAATCAGTTTTGTGAAACTTTAAGCAAAAAGTCTCTCAATTTGAGGATTTGCTTGTATATCACAGAGCTCAGCGTGTACAGTATACGTCCTCTGGTGCTTTATTGCTCTCTCACTAACCAAGTAGCAGAATGCAGAGTGATGAAGAGGCTCCTCCTCCTCCTCCTGCTCCCTGCTGCTGTTTATTGTCGGCTGCTGCACGCTAGACTGACGCTACTCAACGAATATTAAAGGAGGCGTCATTGGCATTAAAATTATTATTGTGGAAAGGTGAAAGGTCACAGCCTGTTTGTGCTGTTGCAATAATTAATTAGGCAATTAAAATAAACATTGATGTATTTTTAATTACAGTTTGAGTAATGAAGTAAATGTCACATGTCAGATACAGAGGAAGCTGTGGAACATAACTAGCATGACTATTTTCTTCATGCTTCTTTATTCAGCACTTTTTACTCCACTACATTTATCTGTCATATTGAGTTTTCCACTTACTTGCAGGTGAATAATTTACTTGGATACAGACGATCGTAGACACTACAATTTACAGATGTTCCCTGAATGCCTCACAGGTAGGCAATAGGTGAATGCTGGGTACAGTACACAGTACAAGGGGTGTTTGGGGCAGCAGCAGTGGACTGTATAGTGTCGTTATGGGAGGTTTAAAGGGGTTTATAGTTGTCTTTGCAAAATATTTCAATATGAGAGGCCATCAGGGGCCACTTCTACCCTTTGAGGCCCCAAGCGTTTGTCTGGTTTGCCTCTCCTGACAATGTGCCCCTGATTTCCACATATATAGTACAATAGTACAGTGAAGCTCTTCCAATATCACTTTTTGTTTTCTTTTTAGAAGACAGTGGAACAAACATTTTGCCTCATAAAGTATTATAATTTAATCTACTTATTTCATTTAATGTAATTTAATTAATTCATTGATTAATTCCCATGAAGTCCACTATCTTACTAACTGCACATACTAGTGACAAACTAACTTTTTTGACCTCAGTGATCTAACTTCTAAAAACCAGTGAATTCAGTGTCGTCATCATATTCCATCATTAGATAATATCCTATAAATAAACATGGGATAACATCATAACAATAATGTGTGTTTGTACATCTGACCAACAACAAGCTGAGAGCTTCATTCTCATCATATAAAATCACTTTACATGACATTTCCTGAACTTGATTTACACTTTGATGCCAACTACCTCAGTCATATACCACGATTTTTCTAATATGTTATTATACCTGAAGTGAAGAGTGTTTTTTACAGTCTATTTCTCAGACCTGTAGGAGTGACAGTAAAGTACCAGGTTCAAAGTAAAACAGCTGCTGTCTGAGTGTGAGCAATAAGACACATTTATCAAGTGACTTCCTTGTTCTTACAGTCACCGTCAAGAGTCAAAAGAAGTTTGATGAAAACATTTTCATCCTTAAGATTGTGAATAAGAGGGGGGGGGGGATTTCTACCTTTATCTTTCAGATCTTTTATTTTGAAAAATGAATCACGTGTTCATCAGGGGATTTCGATCTCTCAGTGGTTCAGATGCACACACACACACACACACACACACACACACACACATTTAGTAATCAGACCAGGTCCCCAGAGATGATTTTACAATCATTTTCTGCTCACAGCAGTTTAAACATTATAAACGGATTCATTGTAAATGGACTGATCGCTCATTGTTGTCGTACAGAAGTGATGAGTTCGGAGGACGAGAGGAATCAATTTGCTTTAATGGTTACAGATTGTTGGAGCATCATCTCCCTGGAGATGAGTTTATAGACGCTCTTTTCTCCAGGTCACATTGAACACAGCTGCGGACCACGTTTGTATCAAGTTTTAATATTAAAGAATTAAGTGAGATCTTTTGACTGGGCTCTTCTTATAAATCTGTTTTGGTCATTTTCAGTAGTCATGTGATTTAAAGGTAAAAAATGTAACCTTGTAAATGTAAATGTTTTTTTTCTAAAAAGTTTTTTTATGATGTAAAAGATCTCAAATTGTCAAATGTTAAATAATGAAACACAAGCAGCTGGACAAGAACGTTGTCTAATTAAAATCCGATCTAAAACCTATCAACGTAAAAAAGTATAAATTAAAATAAGGAAGTATCTGATCAGAGAATTAGTAAACCAGATTATTTATCTGATTCTTTGATGCTACAGATAAATTTACTCAGTACGCAGTGATCTAGTAAAAGTTTGAACACGAACTAAGATCACGTTTCTTTCTGACGTGTTCTCATAACATCTGAATGTATCTCTTTGTTTATTAGAGCATCCCGCTATCTGCAGGTACGAGGCCTCAGGTGATATAGCACATAAACTGGAACGCTCGTATACACAGACATATTTATAGTGTGGGGGGGGTTTAACTGCACATCCTGCACCGCTCTGCCTTCGTAACATATATCACTTATACATCAGGTCCCATATTGACCTGGTACAGTCACATTAAATCTGGAAAACTGTGGCATCTGGCGCCAACATTAGCAGATGACAGCAGATTTACTGACCCTGTGCTCAACCTTAGCGTCACTCTGATGATGAGCAACTGCTGGTTAAATTCAATTAGAAGAGAAGTGACTATAAGCAGAGTAAATATTCCTGTGTGGAGATACAGAGGTACATACAGGTAGTCTGTGGATTTGCAAACAGATTTCTAGTTTTTATACCAAAGCTACTGAAACAACCTGCAACATACAACAATCATACACCAAGAACCAGAACTCAAGATTACCTGCCAGTCATACCACGGACCAGTGGTTCCCAGCCAAGCAGCAACCTCCTGAAACATAAAGCCGACACTAAAGTGCTGAAAAAAAAGGCAGTTCCTTTAATGACCACTAGAACTCATTCTGCTGCCACCACTGACACATGACGCACCCAGTGTTCTTCCCGGCCCTGGGCCACACTGGATGAGTGAGTGGTGTGAGCGTAGTAGTTTCTGACTCTGTCTTTCTGTCAAGGCTGAATCTGAATATGACACAAACATTAAAAATATAAATATCTAAAATCTATAAATTATTTTTTTTTGACCATTTTAGTAGCTGCATGTGGAGACAGAAACATTTTACTGACGTCTTCTGTCAAAAATAAATCAGAAATTAATTTTTAATGAGGAGAAATCCAACATTCCAGTAGCCTGTAAACTCAATGTAGAGAGATAGAGCTGCAGCAGCAGAGGAGTAACTGGTGTGAACACACACGCGTTATTCTCCGCAGCAGCTCAGCGATGTCAGCCGCCACGCTCACGCCACACACACACAGAGTGACCCCAGCATAATGCACATGTTGGATTCATCACTGTGCTCATGTGTGTGCTGTACGAGCATGAAACACAACACAACTCTGCTACTGAAAACCTCAACAAGGAACCAGCAGACTGAGGCTTAAACTGACCAGAATTTTAACGTTGATTAAAATGAATTCAAATGTTAATGTCATTTGTCCTCACATAGACATGGTCACTTATTTACCTCTGATGTCTTTCATTCGCTCACTCTGCAGGAGAAATAACCTTCCTGAGCGACTGGAGGTTGACCACAGCAAGCACATGGCCCTGGACCTCGCCAACATCGTGCCACGCCAGAGCACCAACGAAGGCCCGCTGGAAGCATCCAGAACGGCTCCACCTGCCTCCTCAGGCCACGGCAGCTCCTCTGAAGGGTTCGTGGACGACCCCGATGTCCCCCCACTCATATAAGACTGAGAAATAATGTTTAGGACAGAGGTGTCTGTTCTCTGTCGCTAGTAGCGTGAACGCTTTGAAACTCCTGATACTGCAGGTAGGAAAAGATCCTGAGCCAGACTCAGTGTTAAGAAGCAGTAAGGCTTTTTCAATGAGCTGGAGCTTTATTTAACTTTGTGTTTCCTGTCCCAGTTTACTGAAAGAGTCATTAAAGCTACAAGACACTGACAACATTTGCTAACATTTAGCTTCTGCTAATTTCTGACACCATCATCTTATATCCTGAAAATAAAGGAAATGGTGTAAATATCAATGTTACATTCTGATACATGTACATGTTCATCTAATGTTGAAAACCCAATATCATTTTTACATGTTTTGATATTTTTTTTTATCCTTAACAGCAGCCAAAGTTTTGCATTCCAAACAATAAGTGAGTTTTTTTTTTTATTAAATGAAAAATAGTAAACATGGAGGATTTTTATTAATTGAATTCTCCTTTCAGTTTCAGTGTTTGATGTTATGGACACATTTCACTTGTTACAGAAAAATATTTGATATCCATCCCTGAGTAGCTGAAAGATCTGATCCTTCTTTGGAAATGCCCTGAAAATGTTTGAGGGTGAACATCTTCAATATGAAATGAAAACAACATATTCTGATCCTATGACTGTAAATAAAGATGGACGTTGACTCCGTCATGTAACCCACAGGTTTCTTAAGAGTGGTTTTGAAGCTCAGAGTGAGCCTTGAACTCCCAGCTCATCCAAAAATGGGCAAACAGGTGGGGCGTGTGAGGAGACGTTGAGACTTCGGTGACACCGGTTTATGGCGAGCATATGCTCAGCCACCTGTCACTCAAAGGCCATGGCCTCAATTATACACAACTTTAAGCCTTAATAAAAATAAAATAAAACAGGTGAGTTATATAAACAGTTGTCATGAAGGAGGAAATTAGCTTTAAAGACCAAAACTGTTTTTGTACCAGGCTGTAAACATGTTTATTTCTGCTGTAAAGTTGGACATTTTAACATGGGAGTCTATGGGGACTGACTCACTGTTGGAGCCAGACTCTAGTGGCAAATAGAGGAACTGCAGGTTATGGCACTTCCATGTTGGCTTCAGTTTTCAGCCCTGGATGTTGATGCTTGATTCTGAGCTACATCTTTGATCGCAGCAGTGGAAGGTCCTATGATCATTTCAGCCAGTTAAACCCTGATGGTCCTTTTCAACAGTAAAAAAAAAAAAAAAAAACTTCATGGAAAGCTTCATGGAAAAGTTGTTTTTCTTTTACTTTTGACAGATGTTTGCTTCTTTTCCCTGTAAACTCCAGCTGGGAGGGCAACAGCGCAGAAAGAAAAGAAAATCAATCAGCCGAGTTCAGTCTGCTTTGCCTGTGGCCCGTTTTTTTTTTTTTGGACCCTGTTGTTCTTTGGCCGGTTGTGTTTTTTTTTTTTTTTTTTGCGTGTGATGCTCCTCCCGAGCGCCCTCCTCAAAGCTCAGAGCCTGATATTCTGCCAGACTTTGATCAGAGAGCCCCCTCTATGTGCCCAGAGGACACAGGTCCAAACAGATTTTGAAGCTTGTTCGTCTCTCCTTGAAACTCAGCTGAAGTCTCCTTGCTCTTTACTTTCCTCTTAGTTGTCACTGGGAGAGTTCTGAGGTCACGACTCCCTCTCCTCTTCCTCCTCCTCCTCCTCCTCCTCCCTCCTCCCTGAGTGCCGTTCTAACTGCAGAGCCTTGAGAGATCATCCTGGCGTTGGACCATTTTTCCTCCTGACAGCTCCACTGTTCTCCTATCATCCAGCTTTCTATATTTGGACTGCATGGCTCGTATCGTCCCGGAGGTTTTTGATGTTCATGGTTGTTGGTTGCATGAAAAACAGCTCATCCAGAGATGGTTTTTACTGTGTCTGAAAACTCCACAGCTACTTGTTTAGATCTGAATCTGAGGACATGAGGATATTAAATCTATATGTTTAAATGTGTCTGGTGCTGTAGAGCACAGGGCGTACTAAGCAGTATCAGCACTGTGCTTTTACTGTGAATCAGTAAACCGATTTGTGTTTGTGTATTCAGCAGCCAGAACCAGGTGTGACGTCACCTGCAGCCTCTACGAAGTCACACAGGATAGAAATCAGGACCATGGTGGTCGGACAGTGGCCGAGAACTCGTTTGATGAACCCTCAGACAGCTCGGTGTCATCATCATCAGTTCAGCGCAGCTCGCTAGTTTGCTTCTTTAAGAACAATAGATTCCCTGTTTATTGACGGACAACAGGAAATGTGGTCACATTTAGTCCACATTTAGTTAGTAATTAATTAAACCCAAGTTTTGTTTAATGCTGGATTTGTTTAGACCATTACAGAGATAATTCCACATTTGAATGTTTGGCTCAAACAGAAATCGAACCTCCTGGATCTTTTCTGCTGAAGTGAAATACATAAATAACGTTTTTTTTTTCTTTGCAGTTTCCTGCTGCCTGGTGCTTGTTCATATTGTAAAACATATGCTACTCTTTAAAGGTCCCATATAGTCTAAAGGTAGATGTCCATGTGTAGTTTGATTATAAAGCAGGTCTAGGTTCTATATTAATACTGTGAAAGCATCAAAGCCTCAGTCCACAGAGAAATGCACACAGCCTGTATTCAGAAACTGAGCCTTAAAACCAGCCGTCAGGACTTCTGGAACTTTGTGATGTCACAACAAAGCAGTCACTACTCTCAGCCATGCTCCAAGCCCCACCCACCTGGACCCACCATCCAACCTTGCAGGATTTGGTTTCTCTCAGAGCCTCCTCTCTTCTGATTGGCTCACTGACCTGTTGTTACTGGAGCTCCAGAGAGAAGCCTGAGAAAGGAGATGTAAAACTACACTGAGATGGTTTTTGGTTCTTAAAACCACAAATATATCTTCTTATGGATCAACACTTCAAATAAAACACAGAAGAAGAGGAAAATATGGAGCTTCTGCTCCATTCTCCAATTCTGCTCAGTGCAGCTCGACTCGAGCTGATCAGCTAATCAGTCTCTGATTAGATTTTTTATTTATTTATTTTATCTTGTTGATGATTACTTGATTTCGACACATTTTCAAAATGCAATATCTTCTTGTAATCAGTCAGCTGACATGAAAACACTAATACTGAATATATGTGGTTTTCAATCAGTCACTTCTGCTGTCTGATGTAGATTTCATCCACAGTTGCTGGCAGCACTGAGGAGCCATTTAAACACCCAAATATAACAGTTTCAGACTTTTGCAGATTGAGCAAAGACTAATAAATATTTAGAAAATATCACTTTGACCCAGATCTGAACATGATGAACTGACAGAGGAAACTGATCAACACAGCGCAGACTCTCTGCTCCGCTTCATGACTTATTGATAAATAATCTTCCTGCTCTGTCATGTGGCGGTGCAGCTGTGTACATAACACATGTGTTCGTCTATTTAAATGAATCTCTTCAGCTGCCTGCGATCTCTTTATTTAACTCTTCATCATCATCACCCGCTGGTTTAACATAACTGAATGTTAAAAAGAGAAGCTCCGTCGTCTGATTTCCTAAAAGGGAACACCTTCACTACTCCTGCCCTTCATCTTCACAGTCTTCCTCCATCTCTGCAAACAGAGAAACAAAGAACCTCCGTTCTGTTCAACCAGACTGGAGGAGATCAGAACCAAAGAACCGCAAAGAACCCAGAGTCAGATTTTTGTTTCCTGTGTGATTAAATCCAGAGATGCAAAAAATCCTGACCCACCTGCCGTCTCTCCTCTGTGTTATCCTTCTCTTATCTTACCCAGGCTCCATCGCTGCCTCATTGATTTTTGTCTGTTGCCATGACAGCGGATGGTCCCACTAGTTTTGTATACGCAACACTGCCTCGTAGTGTTGACCCAGGTCAGACAGACCTGACTTTCTTGTTCGTCTTTTCTTCTCACTGTTCCTGAGACTCACCAGACACTGTTGATGACACCTGTTACGCCATCAGCCTTATCTGCTGGAGTTATTTCTATTTTCAGTTTTTCTTCTTTTTTTTCATGGACATGTCATTAGTGATTGGTGCTAGAGGAAAAGTCAGAGGATCATCAGAATTATTACAGTTCATGCTGAGGGGACCATGAATGTATATAAATGCATATAATGGTAGAGGTGGAATACAGTGTATGATGTAAAGTCCAGTTTGATAACAGTACAGTTCAGAGCATCACAAAAGTCAATAGGATTCATCCTCTGGGGACCATGAATGTCTGTATAAAATTTCAAAGCAATAGATGTTGAGCTGTTTCAGTCTGGACCAACACTGGAATGACTAATATTAATGAATTTAATAGGACTACTTGTCAGGCTCTTCTGTTTGATCACTGTAAGACATTTTCTCTTTAACAAACATCAAGCAGCAGCGAGAAAAACATGGCAGGAGCTGGCCAACATTTCCTCTCTCATCTCTGTGGTGTGTTCTGGTTTAAAGCATCACAGACCAGACAGGACGGTAAACATGAGCTCTCTGTCTGCACTTTAACTGCCTTTACAGGGTTCCTGGGGTTTGAAAGTTCAAACAGTTGTTTGTGATGTGTGAAGTTACCAACACCAGTTGCTTGGTGCCGCTTTAAAGGGAAATTTTAATTCATTCATTTTTTTTTTACAGGCTGGGTGGAAACGTCTGGCTGATCGTTGCTATCAGGCATGAATGATTCTCACCGACATCATTGCTCAGGTCAGATTTAAGGGCACAGCACAGCAGTCAACTGATCAGAAAAGTGGTAAATAAACTCTCAGTCTTTTGTAAACCAGTACATCAGATAGAGGCAGAGCTTCAGTGATTACTGTGATTGGTCACGCATGCTCCTCTTTAACACTGTGGACAGTTAACGCTCCATCTTTTCCTCTTCTCCTGTGTTCTATTTGAAGTGTTGATCCATAAGAAGATATATTTGTGGTTTTAAGAGCCTAAAACCCGTGAGCCAACCAGAAGAGGGGAGGCTCTTAGCCTCTCCCCTGATTGGCTGACTG